ATTTAAATATATTTAAAACATATTTTTAAAGTTTACATGATTTTAAAAGACAAGACAGAATGTTTAATTTGAAATCTTACTTTAATTTTTAAATGCATGTGTTTTAAATATTTTGAAAAAACTAACATAAAAACAAAATTTCCAGATAGAGCAAAAATATTTAAAAGTCTACATAATTTTTATTTTATTTTATTTTATTTTTTATTTTTTTCTACATTTGGCAGACTGGGATTTCCATATTCCTAACCCAGCCTTTTGGCCCTTTTTTAGGTCTACAGTTGAGAAATAAAGGTTTGTATATAATTGGCTCTCACTACTTCAAACATACATATTTACACTGATTGGTCTGGGAAGATGCAAAAGCTCTTGACCATTTGCCTGAGATACAGTGTAGTTTAACTTATTTTGAGACAAAACAAACGTTAAGATTAAATCAGTAGAATTTCTTTTTGATGCTTATTTCTGTTACTTTAAGCTCTAAACCTATTTTTCAGACTAACCATAGCCTGATCCAGAAACACCTAAACTTTGGAGAAACATAATTCCAGATCCCAGTATTGTAGCCTTATAGAAGTCCTGCAGTTAACCTTCTTTTTGTGCTGCTCTACAAGCACCTCATGTTCTGTATTCAGTTTTACTGTCCATAGCCTGAGATGAGATACTACTTTATTTTTGTTTGCCTTTTTTCATCAGTGTTTTTGTGGAATTGTTAACAAGAAGAAAATAACACTTTGGGGAGTAAGCCTCCTTCATATAAATAAATTTTAAAGGATCTTAGCTTAATGTTGCCTTGTTTACGTTACGGAATAAGCAAAGGCCACAAAGGTTCTGCAGAGCAGCACCACAATTCACCTAGTGTGCATATAAAACCATAGCATCCTATTTCTTAACTATGAAGTTATCTTCCCTCTGAATGTCAATTAACCTTTAAGTAAGTTCTGGAATATCTTGGACCAGAGAAGCACAATGCAAGCTAAATTCATGGTGAATTGTTTGGGATTTTTTTCACTGATGGAGTTTAACTATAAATGGAAAAGTATTCCTGTCCTGACTTGCTCTAAACCCGGGAAGGAAGGCAGCAGTGGTGAAAAGTGTCTGAATCTATTGCAGATTATCTGCAAGCTTCCATTCCCCTGAGATGCTGAAGGTCCTTTCTGTTCTTCTATCCAAAGATAAAGTATAAATACTATGAAGCACTTCTGGGGTCCTTGCTATCCTTTTCTTTGTGAGCTGTCTATTTTTACTTGTCATCAACTAGGCAAACATATCTGGCCTTGCCTTCTCTTTTTTGGTTATTTCTGTGAGGCGAGTGTATGAATCTCCTCATATCCTCAGCTGAAAATGACAGCAAAAAAGGACTGTTAACACTCCTTTATTTTCATAGAAAAATGGCACGGGGAAGGTAACACCATTTCCGTTCGCTTTCACAAGAAGAAAATCTAGGAAACCAGGAGCAGAATTGATAGCAATACTTTTAGAGAAACTTCCTTAAAATTTGGACTGCCAAACGTCTAGGTGAATCAAGTTATACCATGGAGGACTGGATGTTCCCCATTAAGGAGCTTGTCTGAATGAGGAGTGACGTATGCTGCTCACAGCTGTTTCTGAAAGGAATGACGTAAACGGAGATGACATACATGATATAGAAATGCTGCAACCAGCCACATAGTCAATTAAGATGTTTTTGTTTAAGTAGAAATCACATTATTAAACCTAGATGTTCTGAAGCTAGCAAACTCAACACAAGGCTATCATTGCTACTTTTTTCAAAGGCGTTTCATCACAGACATCTGCCAGCCAGCTGTGTAGACTTTCTGTCTGCGCTAATTTGCAAAGTATTATTGCTGGCCTTCAGCATTCAGAGCCGTCTCCTTTTGGGCTCTTGATGGTCAAAAACTTATTTCTTGGAAATATTTTCTTCATCTGATTAAGTTGGTTACTTTTGTTTGATTGCATTTTATTTATTTTAGCTTTGGCATGGGATTATTTTGTTGGGTTTACCTTGATTTTATAAGGAATCTTATAAATACATAAATGCTGACTAGTACAGCAAGAAACTGAGACATCACTGACTTTGCAGTACTGCCCCACTGAAGACAACATCCTGCAGGATTCTCCCTTGTCCACCAATCTCCTTTCAGTTTTGAAGGCTAATCTCTTTGAGCTTGCTTTTATATTTGATTATTTAACTGCTTTGCCCTTTCCTGGAGCTTCACCTGGAGGATTTGGCTGAAACGCCCGGAGGAGGGATGCTGGCTGGGCAGGTGGTGGTGCTGGACCCGCAGGGAGCCGGCCCCTGCTTTCCCTGCTAACACTGCCCTCTCCTGGTTCTCCTCCTGCGGACCGAGAGCCGAGGCCCCTTGCAGGAGCCGGATAAAGAAAAGGAGAATTACATCGTTGGCTTCTTCTCCTGTTACTTACTGTCTCTCCCGACCTCCACGACCTCCCACTCTTCTGATGAATGGCACCGTGACATCTTTGCGCTGGCCCGAGAAGCCAAGGAAGCCCTGCCTCAGAGCTCAACGTTCAAACCAGTCCCGTGAATTTACCAGTGGTTTGGAGGTTTGCAGGCTGCTGTAACTGGGGCTGCCTGAATCGCTGGGGTTTCACTAGGCTGAGCAACCTGAGACTCAGAGGCAGTCCCTGAAACCCAGTCTCCCGGCTTTTAATATCCAGCACTGCTCCTAGCTGGCTGTGCTGACTCTTTCAATCCTGCTTGCTGACTGGACCTCTCCTAGGCTTATCCATCCATTGCAAGTTTCCGACTAATAACTCTGCCAGGCTGTTGGAACCAGGATAATCGCCTATCCACAGTGTGCCATTTCTGATCCATTATGGGTTACTGTTGAATTCCCTCCCTCTTCCTCTTCTCCCCCGAGAGCCCTTGCAGAGCCCGGAGTGCTCCCTCCCTCTCGTTTTCCCCACTTCCCCAGCTCATGTCACTCCGCAGAGCAGGATCAGGTTGCTTTTGCATTGTGATTCTTGGCATGAGCCTCTCTCGGATTCGTATAGCTGTTCTGTGAGTACGGCAGCCAGTAGGAACAAAGCACATAAGAACATATTAAACTAACATTCAGCACGCAAAGCCCAAATAATTTACTATATGCTACCCTGCCTAGTAAAGGGAATAGTGTAGCAGGCTTACCCTTTTAATTTCCTTTCTCTCACTTTTGTCTATAGAAGTCTATACCATAACTTCCTTAAAAAGCATCTGTGTTTATTCTATAGTCGTTCTTAGGCTGTTTGGTTTTATGCAGTATTTCTTGCAGTAACAATCTCCTGTGCTTTGTTGGATACCATCACTAAACAGAGATGTACTGTTGTATCAGATTAGAATTTTAATTGTAGAAATATAACCTTTCCCAATGCATTGTGCTTTTATGGTGGTAAAATGATCCCTGTTGTCCTGCTGTCTGACAGTTCTCTCTTTTTAAAACCTACAATGAACAGTGTTACAGAAGTAAAAAATATAGATCAGATCAGCATACTAATGACCAGTTATCCCTTCATGGATGAAAAATTTCAATTTGACATCTTTTCCATGTCACATATGAACACAGTAGAGTTCCAATAAAAATATTAATAACTTAGGAATAAGAAATGTTACGGGACTGCCAGATAATACTAGAAAAAAAAAAAAAAATTAAAAAAAGGTCCAAAAACAGATAAGCTAGTTGCTACGTAAAGAAGGTCCAAAAACAGATAAGCTAGTTGCTACAGCTGCTCAAAATGAAAAAGAAATTTGGATGCAGAGGCTTGCAATAAACTTCACAATACATCTAAGTGTATGTACCTGCTACAAATATGCTTGTCTTATATTAATATGGAATATATTTTATTAGAAGGAATCACATCACTGAAAAAGCAGAAAAGTTTTTTGGATATATAGTATGTGAAAGAGCTATATGCTTGAAAGCTTATCCAATCTATCTATGTCATCTGGTCTAATAAGAGATGCTGCTTATCCTTGTTCTGTTAGATCCTTAGACCATCGTGAGTACAGTAATCCCTAAAATGCTTGCACAAATTACAGCCTTACTTGGGATTCTGCACAGTTCACAGGCTAGCATGGACTTTATCAATTGCTGGTCAGATAAACAGATTACTGAAGGCAGATGTTTTCTGCTCTTCATTAAGACTCTGTGGGCCCCTAATTCTGGCAATGGCATTAGACTCGGAGCTAAAAATTATGTTCACGTATATTCCAAGATGTTGTGTGGCATGGTTTGTAACACCGCTTGTTGGAAAAACAGTTTATCGACTGTAGACAGAGTGAATAAGATAAAGTTTTGAAGTTCCAGGTCATTCTGAGCCAATTTCAATCTGAACAAAGAATGATCCAACAGGAAATGCAGTGTTAGTAAACAAAAACCCGTGTATGCTCCACCACAATTGTGTATAGTCATCTTATGAGTGAGTTAGGAAGCACAGTCTCTGAAAATGATAAATTCCGCAGAAAAAATAGAATTCTGGTTAACTCAGAGTGTATTAGGTATAATTATGTATAATCATTTCTATTGATTTCTTATAGGAAGTAATTCTGAAGTAATGTCCTATGAAACATCCCATTATTCATGAATAGAAGTCAAACTATTTAAAATAATGTACTAGCAAAATGCTGCATTGGTTCTGAAACACAGTTGCTTTCAGAAAAACATCCTACAGAGGAAGCTTTTCTAATATTTATTGTAAAACAGTTTATTCAGGAATAGTTAAGCCAGTTAGTTTTCCCATGTTGACGTGGCCTTAACTGGGAAGGTCACAAGCCTGGTCTTGTAGTGAAAAAGTGAAATAAAGAGGGGGGAGAGCATCCAGCTTCTGGCGAGGGAGTCACCACGGGAAGATGCCAATCCTGGAAGTGCCCAACATGTTATGCCTCTGCTAGCTCCCTTTCTAAAAGTGGTGTTTTAGCTTAGAGCTGAGCCTGCTGGGCAGGTCTCGTTATACAGCGAACACGTTTAATAGCGGAGAATGACCATGCCTCTGTGTTTTTCTTGCAGCTTCATGACGAGTTAGAAAAGGGCGAGAAGGAAAGCGCAGAGCTGCAGGAGTTTGCCAATGCCATCTTACAGCAGATAGCGGATCACTGCCCTGACATCCTGGAGCAAGTCGTCAATGCACTTGAGGAGTCGTCATGACCTCAGCCACTAGCCCCACCGGAGCAGCACACCAGTGGCCAAGCCCAGTCAATCCAAGGAGCCATGAGAGTGGATAGGAATGTGAAAGACAGAAAATGGAATAGAAACTTCCGGTGCACCTTTTACAAAGAAAACAAAAGAAAAAAAACCCTCTAAAAACTAAATGCTCTCTAGGTTCTTCCAGTCTATGATTAATCAGTCACGTTTGCATTCATCTTCTCACTGCCTTTCTACTTTAGAATCCGATTCCTCATTGACTTTGTCGGTGGTGACTTTTGGATACAGCTAACCAGAGCTCTTCCAAGTCTACTGAGCAAAGAAGAGGGGATCCACTGAATACAAGCAGCTGTAGTTCTCCGTGAGGTTGCAGAAGGGTGCCCTTGCCTTTATTCATTTATTGATTCTGTTTTCTTTCTTTTTTTTTCCATAAAAGCTGAAAGCCTGAATTTCATAGTGCTAAAACCAAACCTGAGCGTTCTCTGATTATGGCTCGTGACTGGCCAGCATCAGCTAGCTAGCTCAGGTCTCACTGCCTGTCTCAATATCTCTTATGTTCTTAAATAACAGAGAGAGGAAAGGAAAGTTTCCCATTTTGTTTCTGTTAGTCGCTTCGTCTATCAGCTGGGAAACAAAGTAGGCATACTGGTACTTTCTGTTTACTTAACTTTGATTTTTATTGTTCACTGATCTGACTCTGAAGTGCTGAGTAGGGCATTTTTTCAGGTAACTGTTTTCATCTGTTGATTTCTTGGGGTTTTTAGCTGAGGTTTCTCATCATAGGTCTGTGTCTCCTAAGTTCTTATTTTATAGAGAGCTCTCTCCCTTCAAGCAGGTGTGGTCAACAGGTCAGCTCCCAGCTTTAACTTGTATAGTTTGTCCATTGCCAATTTTTCAGGCCATAGCTTTGTGAACGCTAGCTGCCATCAGAAGAGTCTTAGGTGTTTTGTAAATGAGAAAATGGCATCATTTAGCTTAAAAGTATAATTTCAAAGCTAAGTTAGGTAAATCGGTAACATAGTTCTTACTATAATTATAATTTAATTTATTTTGGTTTAGCTTAGGTTGACAAGGAATGAGTTTGAGTTCAGAGCAATAACCCAGTCTTATAAAGAGGAGCATCTCTGCTGGAGTTGGCACCCAGCTGAGTAAATAGGTATAAAATCACAGCTTTAGTTAAACCAGTGCAATTCTTATATGTATATGAGAGGCCTTAGTCTTGTTCCCATCCATCTTTGACACTCGGTAAAGCCCCTGCTGATAGGTAATATAACCTGAAATAGCAGGTCGGTTTGTCATTGTGGTAGCAAGTCAGAATCCTATTTTATGAGTAGGACTTGGGTGTTCGTTCTTGGACTATGCATTAATGGGGAGACACGTTTTTTCCTGGCTACCAGTGGTTATGTGTGTCTGGGGGCATCTGCAGGACAGAACCCTTTAACACGTCCCCATGTGCTCCTTAAAGGAGTTGTTCCCCTTTAGCTTTCTCATATTACTTAAGAGAATGAGGGGAGGGGGAAAGGAGACCAAATATCAACATAGCAGTGGAAGAAATCTTGGTTTTCAAGTCACTAGCTAATTATGAATCCTCTCAGTAAACCTCCCATTCAGAGCCTGCAGTTTAATTCCATATGACTTACTATATTTTAGGCTTAATCACTAAACTGTTACGCTAAGGAAAATGTTCCAAGCCCTTTCAGGAAAACTGCATTTCTTATGTCTTTCAAATCCACAGCACAGCTCCCCTGTAGGTCTTTCACACCTTATTTTTATCTTTAGAAGTGACCGATTGCTTCGAATAGAAAGGAGATCAGCAAAAGTTTGAGTGAGGGAAGATGTACCCTGTCTTTTTTCAAACAAGCACTGAAAATTGGGCAAATCTGAAACCTTATATACCTGTAGACTCTGTTGAAAACTAACTGATTTAAAATAAATCACATCCTAATTCATTCTACTGTAATGATTCAGCAGAAGGAACTGGATCCATAACCATGGTGTCCGCTAGGAAGAAGTATGTAAGACTCCAAAGAAGAGGTGATTCACACCTTTCCCGTGTTTTGAACTGCCAGTGCTTTGCAAATCAGGAAACGTAGCTTTAGTTCTTGCTGTAGTAGCAGCCTGTGTCTGAAGCTTTTGTTGTCATGGATGAGGAGAGTAATGGGAACCTGAGTGTGTGCAAGGGGCGAACACCGGAAGGCATGTAGACAGTGACTGTACATACCACTGAGCCGTGCCTCATCCCAGAACCACCCCTTTGGTCCCATTATTTGAGTCAGCATGTTTCGATAGGAGCTGTTGTTTTGAAATCTTTCCTCTTGCTTTTTCTTCATCACCCCTAATTACACACTCAAGGAATTTAATGCCGCCTGTAAAAGCATCAGAGCCATCAGCCTAACATCATCGCACCACCACCACCACTCCTGACTATCTCATTAACTTATATGGTCAAATCTCCAGCTGCCCTGGTTCCCTGCTGTAAAACAATCCCTCCTCTGTGAGAAGCTGTGGAATTTCCCTTATCGATGGTTCAAATGACTCCTGCTTGTAAACCTCTTACTGAGATGTTCCTTGATAGTGTTTCTGCTGCAGGCAGGGGGAGGGGATGGGAACGAGGGGTGGCCACTTCAGGCTGTTATTTCAATTCCCTTGGTTTACTGCATTGCCCCTTCATTGCAGGAAAGCTGCGAGTTTCAGTCCTGGTTCTTCTGCATCTTTAACTCAGCTGCCAGCCTGTGGCTGCGTTTCTAGAGTTTAAAGTGCCCCAGCCAAAGGCACGGCGCTGTCATGACAGCGCGTACAGGATCCATGCGTCGGCAGCCAGGTGAATCTCACTGTTTACACATCTCCCGGCCTCTTCCCTGAGAGGATTTGTCAAGCCTGGCTAGTTTTCACGCTGGCCATTTGGTCTTTTATCTCCCAGCCACACACCTGCTGTTCCTCCCATCTGGATTGTTGGGCCTTTGCAATTTTTCTCGTTAACCGCTCTTATCTTCTAGGTCTTCTAGGCTTCCCATCTTAAACATTGATCTTAGACCTCAGTAAAGTGCTTTCAGGGAGAGGGCAGATCTCATTTGGGAACAGACTTGATCCGACTTGATCTCCGCTGAACTATTTCAGGTAATCTCTCTGATCCTGTGTCGACAGAGATCTTGTCATGGTGAATAGCTTGAGGAACTATGTGATTTGGGAGGTGCTGCTGGCTACAATTTAATGCTGAACGTGACCAGTGAAAGCTTTTTCTTTTTGCTCATATGTGTGCCACACCATTGGCCTTAGGGCAACGAAGGGATTTTGTTATCGTAATCCATCATGAAATTGCATATCAGGCACATGGCAGAGGGGCCATGTGTGTGCACATACTGCGATGCTCATCCAGTTGCCTAACCCACCACTGCTCTTTTAAAATCTTATACCCAGGTGTCAGCAGCCAGGCAGATGCAGACAGTTTCCTAGCACAGCAGTCCTGCAACACAGCAGCCCTGGGAAATTCAGGGGCCCTTCCCAGGGAGCCTGGGGAAACTTGCTTTTTCTTCTCCTGTTGAATGAAGTTCCGTTTGCTACAGGAGCTGTGAAAGTTTTCGTTGCTCTAATACTTTTTTTTTTCCTTTCAAGCTGTCATTTGTAGAGAAACTGAGAGATGTAAGGACTTGAGGAACTGTCTGTAGAAAATTCAATAGATCATTTTAGCTGGGTTAGGGCTAAAAAATAACTCAAGCTTGAAGCCCACATAGAGTGTAAAAGCTGACACCTCAACCACGCTTGTTCATGATATCCACGAGTCCAAGTACATATTTCCTCTGAATCCAGCCTCATGTAAAACACTAAAAGGACATTACAACACTAGAATTACAGGGTGAGGACATGAGCACTGTTTGCGATTGGAAGAAGAATTGCCTGGCGTGCTCCCAAGCGAAGCTCTAAGCTTCTAGTATTCTCTCTCATTTTGACTGCCTTTAACCAGCTTTCCCTCTAGAAAATGCCAAACCCTCTTTGGAGTATCTGATTTTTGCCAAGTCCGGGGGGACGGAAGGTGAAGGTCTGACGATGCACGAAACTGTGTGTGCTGTTTCTGGTTGCACGGCTGGAATATCCCTTCTCTAGCAAATTTTCTGGTACTTTGGGGCTCTCGGTATTTTGCACAAGGGAGCGGTAATGTCATAAATCTTGTAGACATAACCCTGTTTTTTGAACCAAAGGGGCACCTCTTTTCATTTGCCCTGTAATTCCCACCCATTCTGCTGCTAATGCTCGATTTGTTGGGGAATTTCTACAACTGGTAGAAGGTTGACAGGGTTGAGTCCCCACTCCTGTACTAATTGCCAATCATTGCCACTGAAGGGGTCTTTACGAAGGGCATAGAGAGTCACGCGCTGATACCATTTTAAAGCAAAAATTTCTCTATGTAAGTAATGCGTATATTCCTCAAATGACTCTGATGAAATGCAAAAGGGAAATAGTACAATCAAGGCATCTGATATTAAAGGAAGCCTCTACTCAGCTCAGCGCCCGCACTGGAAGAGGGAAGGGGAGAGGATGCAGAAGGCCGTGGATAACTAACACTGCCCCAGCGAAGCCGGCGGGGTGGGAGGGTCGGGCATGGGGCATCGCGCCTGGCAAGGCCAACTCTGCCAACCCGTCTTGCCAGCGTGGCAAGGAAAAGGAGTGTCGGGGGGGGGGGTTAAACAATACAATGTTTTTAATTGTTTTTTCCACATAAATGGAAGGAACCTTACGCAACAGCAAATCCTTCTGAACAAAATGGCTGTGTCCGCTGACTATTTTTAAAAAAAAAAAGAAAAACTGTTTCAAAACTTTTTAGTGTCAAAAGCATAAACACAGAAATCCCGACTTTTTCCAGTGTGTGTGGTGAGTGCTGTAACCCTTTCATCAGTATCTCTCCTGACTTTTTCAGGGGTGTTTTCTCCTGTTTTGTTTTCTGCTTGTCGATATTGTCTGTGTGGTCCTAAGGCTGGGGCAGTTACCAACAATGTGTGTCTGTTGTCGGATTAAAAAAAGATAGTAGTAGAACTGAAAAAGATGTGTTTTAAAAAATATATAAAAATAAATTTCATCAAAAGGAATTCAAGTAAAGAAGCAACAAAGCCGTGACTCCTCCTCTCGGGATTGCACGGAAAAGGATTTGTGGGCTTATAATTATAACCAGTTGCCTTTCACAGGCTTTTGAGGTCCAAGGCAGCTTGGCCTCTTAGGAAATGTTACAAACCCTGTATAAATTCCTGCTTTCCCAGGTTTATACTGTACACGTGTAATACAGAAATGGGCAGAATGAAACAGTATTTTGGAAATCCATCTTTTCTGGTAACGGTTATCAACACCAGGTGTCCCTTAAGATAGGAACCGGTGATGTAAATGGGCCAAACGCTTTGGCCAAATTTTCCCTGTCTTCTCAATCGCGCCCATCGATACCAGGGACACGTGCAAGCGCAGATCGGCTGGTGCAGGTAGTCGTGTGTAGGTCCATTACCAAAGCTGAATTTCTTTGCATCCGGTATTGGTCACATAGCCGCAGCGGGTTATGCTATGGGAAGGGACTAGCAGCCGCCTTCGGCTGCGGTTGCATCAAAGACTTGCGCTGCTTAAAAGGAACAACGTGAGGCTAAACCGGCACGTGACGTAAACAAAAAACCCCACGCGAATCGCTTTGCCTATGAGACTAGGTAACGAATTTCATTAAATGAATGTATTTTTTATATCAAACTTATCGTATGCTGTTTGTCCCTGTTTTGCACTTCTAGTTTGGATCTTGAAAATCAAGTCAATCAGTTTTGGTTTTAAATAGAAGTTTCCACTACAGGTTCTCAGTGCTTTGTTGGGGCTTTTTGTTCAAAACATTGTTTTTCCGTTTGGAAACTGGCAAAAAATGGGTCTATTAGTCACGTGTACTCTTTTTAGTTATAAAATGTGGTTATCTAAAAGCCAAATTTGAAGCCAAACTTTATGAGTAGAACGTTGTTCCTTTAATCTACCCCATCTTGCCAGCTCTCCGTGGACACGGCCAAGTCTCTGTCCTCCCTGCCTGCCCAGGGGCAGCTGCGTTTGGCCCTTACTGACACGCTCATTACAGTATATATGGGGAGGCTTTAGTGGCAGATGCCTTTATCTGTTCAGACGCTGAAGGAGGATGAATCAAACAGGACCGTGAACAGGGGAATAATTTCTGTGCTAGCCTAACATGCTGCTCCAAGCCCACTAAAACAGTATATTGCCGTTTCCCTCCAAGTCAGTAGATGAGGAGAGCCGCACAGCAGGTTCACAAATCATTTGTGGGGTTAAAAAAAAAAATCTGTGGGATGCTCCATCCACTCCACAGACGCGGATCCCTCATTTGCTTTGGAAGAGACGTGTTGCACTTTAGCGGAGGGGGAGACAGGCTTTGGGGATGGGATCTAGCGTACTTGAATTCCTTTTTGAAATAACAGCAGCGGGAGACATTGATGTCTGCGATGCAAGTGCGCACGCTGCCTTCAACTTGTATGTGTTTTATTGCTGGAGTCATGTTACTGACAGGATAATGAAATTGCAAAGAAAATGTGTTATATTCAACTTTGCCTTGATAATATAAACACTTTGTTCATTTTTTTTCTTCTTTTTTTATTCACGGACTAAGTTCATCAGGAAATTATAAAATTATTTAAAAATTCTGTGCCGTGTCTTCATTTCGGTGAATTTCGGTGCGTCTTGCTCAGTGCCCTCTGCTGCGTGCCCAGGATCGGAGGGCAGGCCGGAGGGCTGAGGGGCTGTGTGGCTGTTCCCTCAGACCAGGCTTGAGGTCCTATTTGTTGCCCACCAGCACCGCTGGAGCAACCCTACTGGGGGTCTCGGCTGCACCACGTGCCTGGCAACGCTCGTGGGCATAGCTGGGGCTGCCTGCAAGGTGAAGGTGAGGGGCTATCAATCACATGAGTGTCCCGGTTACCCCAGGACCTCACAGGTCAGGTAAGTGGAGATATAACAACTGCATTTCCAGTCAGCTGTTTCCTTTGTCTCTCTCGTGCCTGTTTTCCAAGTAAACGTGACTTAAACGTTGCTAACGAGTGACTGAATCCCAGATGTGCATCCAGCGTTGAGTCAATGTCGGGATCACGTCTTATGGAGTAATGCGCCTGGAAAGCCTTGCTGTGCTGAGGCCGGTGAGACTGCCTTACAGAGCGTGTTCCTGGTGAGACCCGCACGCCGGTCCTGTCCCCACGGGAGCAGAGGAGAGTCACCGCTTCCTGGCATAAGACGAGCCGTGCCCCCTGCAGCGCTGGTGGAAACGGGCTCTACCCAGCGTCCAGTCTCCAGCCGCATTTTGAGGACGTGGGAAATTGCCTGACTAATGTCACTATAAAATCTCATTTTTCTGGCATTTTTAACTGTTCTAAAGAGAATAGCATTGCAACACTGGGTCCCACTGGTAGAACAATGTCCATGTTAAACACACTCCACCAGATTCTCCGCAGCTATCCTGAAGCCCTGGCAGAGCAGACCTCCCCAAGTCAAGGTCTAACCATTTTCTAACCAATTTCTCTCTCAAAGCCTCTCCGTTTCTTTCTCCTTTTGTCTATCTGTGCAGCTGATTTTTCTCTGGGCTTTCTTGCTGGCCTTGTCCTTTCTGCTCTCTGTAGATTTACCATTTCAAGGGGCTCTTAAGGTCCCAACTCGCTGTTTCTGTACGAGTGACTTCATGTGTGACAGGAACAGGCATCCTGATCTCAGTGCCTGGACGTTCCCCTCCCTCTGCTAATTGGGTTTCCATCACTTGGGCTTCAATCAGGCATGTAAAGCAGCGTGTGGAAAAAGGATACGTGGGGATTAAGGGTCTCGGGAGCTTTGAAAGGAAGAGTCCATCGGCCTTTTGGTTCTCAGTCTGTTTTATGTTCGCTTGAGCGTCTTTGGCTGAGAAGGGGATTCGTGATTCCTGTCAGGCCAGGGTGTGCCTGGCTGTTGCAGCGCAGTCCAGATCAGCTGAATGAAACCACATGCCACATAAATTTAACCAATTACTGTGCAATGCGGTATCCATCGGCCTGAAAGCGGTACAAATGCCATTTCTGAATGGCTTGTCCTTTCGAAAGAGGACAAGTGAAAGGCAAGAGTCGCAGCCACCGCCAGTGGGAGAGCACATCTGCAGGGAGAGCGGCACATCTGCAGGCAGAGCCGAGCCGAGCCGAGCTGCCGCAGCCCACGCTGGCTCTGGCTGCTTGGTGTGTTGCACTGCTGTATCCCCGCAGGCTGACTCATATTTTGGATGGCCCATAACAATAACAGTGTTCGCGCTACAAAGCAAAGATGCCAAATCCCTTTTGTGCGTTATCAGGTTACATTTTATGCATCGTGCAGTAAAACACAACAAGGCATCTGAACAAAATTGTCCGTGTTGACTGCTGTTACTGTGACACAGAACAGGCAAGGCAGCAGTGGAAACGGCGAACGGTCAGCCCTGGGATCAAACGCACACAAATGTAAAACGTTTTCCTTTGCACATATTGCAAAGATAAGTTCATAGGGGTGTGCAGAGCCCCTGTGTTACCCAGGCTCCTGATTAAACAAGGGCCTTCTGCAGTCTTCTAGCCAGGATGAGTTGGTAAAACTTGCTTTTCTAAATTACAACGGTCAGGGAAACTCTGCTGATCCATCATCATGAAACATCAGCGATCCACTGGGAAGAGCAACATATTTAGGATCTCCTATTTCCGACAGGATCTGCTGCACTTCTGCTGCACAGATGCCTTCTGCTTATGTGGACTGATGCTATAGGGATGCATCAGCTGTACCACGCAGAATTACCCAAAACAGTAATTACAAACTAATTGCCTGCGCTAATGAAGTGATCTGCATATGACCAGTGACCTTCAGACTGAGACTTTGAGATATCAAGTAGCCGCTCTTCTCACTGGGCTTCAGGATATTTAGTAATCTTGGGCAAATGGCCAAAGTCATCTTTTTTTACCATCTTTAAAACCCCTCAAATTCAAGAAAGGGCATGTGCCCTGGAAAACTAAATGTCTCGTAGCTGTATGTAATAAAATTAATTGCAAACAATTTTTTTGCTTATCAAGCAAACAGAGCCATACACCTTGTGTTGGTAGACTTTACTTCTGAATATACTGATGATGGATTATAAAACGTAAGTGGAACGGCTGGGACCAGCTTGGGTGTGGCCATGGGGCTACAGCAAGTGATTCTCTGGGTGTGGGCTTTAAATCTGGCTGGTTTTAAGTATGCTATCAGTAATTTTTCCCAATGGTTACAATTGCAAACATTAAAACTGTCCTAGGTGAATGACTAAGAAGCTAAATATTTAGGCCCAGGTTCTGCAGCCCGTTTCTGTGAAGGTGTCACTCAGCAGGAATTCAGCTCCAGGAACATCTATGGACGCAAACCTCATGACAAGGCAAGTTAAAAAACATTTGGTTTCTTTATGTATTGGGAAAAAGAATGGGTTGCTGCTGTAGCTCAAAACCCCTCCTCGAAGGATTTTTGTTCAGCTTGAGTAAACCCTTCATTTTCTGTAAGGGCACACCATTTTGGGGAACCACAAGTCTTGGAATGTATATGAACGCTCTTAAACTCTCTTATATAATGCATAGAAACTGTTTTTAGCTTTAAACAGTATATCATCTTGTAGCCCAATGTATTGAAGTGCACGTGTGCATATCTCTCTATGTGTCTGTGCCCATCTGTATGATAATATATAAATATATACAGCTGCACACTGAAAACCATGTTTCAAGAATACTAAGCTTGCAATGCCAAAGGTCTGGAAATTAGAAAATCTGCATGACTTCATGCCTAATAGGTCCACGATGCAATTTTCAGTGATGTATTTACATAACTAATTTTTTGCCAGACCTTTCCTTCATTAAGTGTGCAGGATGAATTGATTTCTTCAAATCAGTAATTGCATAAACCCTAGCATTGCTGCCATCCATGCTTCTTCCAAGACCACCAGTTCTCTGTTGCAAGCCTCTCGTTACTTTGATTCTGTAAATTGTCTCTCACATTAGTGGCCACTTAGACATCAAGAGGGCTGCTCCTATAAAGAAAGAATTTTCTCAAAGTCCTTCCATATTTTTCAAGAGACACGAGCTCATATCTGCTCTAACATGACTCTAAAATGAACCAAATCCTGACATTTGGGAAGACCCAGACTTCAAATTCCACAGCCCACAAGTGCCTAGAGCAGGGGATTTGGTCTAGCACAGCATACATATACATCATCCACATCCAGAGCTAAATTTGGGTTCACCTCTTCCATCTGTACCTGTGTTCCTTTGTCTACGTCGACAAGAAAAATCTTGTTATTCCAGGGATATGTGCATCAAGCACCTATTTGGGTGCTTGGCTCAGTTTATTTTTGCAAGTGTAAAAATGCAATCTAGTTCACTTTAACCATACACCTGCATTTGCCCAAACCTTCAGTTTGTTTCTGTGCTCTTCCCCCTCTCGTGACAGAGGTATCTGACCCTTCTCTACAAAACATCTGCCAAGGGTGCTTAAGGCTGCAGAGCAACTGCAATTCAACGCTGCTTGTGAGCAGACCTCCGTTTCTACCTTCACACCTACACCAAACACAGACCGGCACCACAAGGACAGCAGCTTGTGCTGTTGCTCCCTGGGCATGCTGGCACTTCCCCATGCAACGCATCTTCGAACTTGAATTGCCCTCACTTATTTCTAGTAGGTTTGATAATTGAAATCTTCATCTAGCAAAGAAGACTCCTGTTTCTTCAGACACACAACTGGACGTTAACTGTGATCAGATGCCATACACAGCAAAGACTGCCTGAGGCTTGTTAGGGAGTCAAAGACTTAGAGGGAGATCTGGTTTGACATTAAGATGGAGGTAGCAAAATGCTTCCTCTGTTCTTCCTTATTGTCCACAAAACGCATTGCCTTTCTCAGCCAGGTCATTCCTGGCAGCAGAAAAAGTCTCCCACAAAGTCCTGTACAAAATATTTGAGACTCTACCTGACAACTAGAGTGACTGACATATCACAGAAGGGGTGCGTGTTTACAGATGCTTGTAGATTGCAGTTGCTAAGAACTGCAAGATGCCGTGTCAGATACCTAATGACCTGGAGGACATGTGAAATACATGCACGTGGGATTTAAAGACTGACTGCAAAGTGCAGAAAGAGGTAAGTTTGATTTCAGCATCTTGGTTTTTGGTCCCCACGTGACTTCAATCAGCAGTTCATGCCATTCTTCTATGAATTAATTCATTTAGCATTAATAGTTGCTATGAATATTTTGGTGGTGGTAGTCATTAAAGTTGGAGAAAGCAAAGGGTGCAACTATTAACGATATGTTGAACTATTGCCACTTTTGCTGATATCCTTCACTGCTGTAAAGTAGCATATCTTGGCTTCAGGTATGTTTTCCCAATCCAAGTGGTAACTGTAAGGTTGTTTTCAGAGGGAGCCGGGGCTCAGCAGCAGCCAGGGCTGGAGCAGCTGGGGAGCTCCGTAGGCCCGTAGCACCCACCAAAGCCAAGGAAGCTCAGCTATTTGTAGGGAAGGCGCTTTATGCATCGCTTACCGCCAAGATCAAACATGCGAGTACAATAAAACTGTCACTTTACCTGGCCCAGGCAGCTTACAACCTGAGTGTTATCAGCTGTTGCTTGATATTAAATGTTAAACCCCCTCGGAGA